TAAGTCCTTAATCAAGGAAATAAGTAAGCATGTTACGATATCTGGTTCCCTCAAATTGAAGTCAATGGTTTTTGGTTAGATGCCTGACATAAGGTCTGTGGTTTACACACTTTTATATTATTTCACGCATTATTCTACAACATAGACTACGTCTGTAATTCCCCACTCATAAATTACCAAAGCTTCTATGTGTCCTAAAATAGTGGTTGCTAACAAGTGACTGATTGAGACTACTAAACGTCATCATGCCAACACAAGTCAGCCTTTTCCTTCGCGGTGGTGAAGCGGGATATGTGACTGTCATGACGCTGACATGTGTACGCCTGTAGCTTAGAGGTGTTGATGTAAAGTCATACGACGGTGATGTAGTTTCTTTTTAGCCTATCGTTAGATTCTTACTTCTGGACATTGCTTACAAAATCTTGGTGTTTGTTTGCATGTGGAAATGATCCTGCTAAACAAATCTTGAAAGTATAAATGTGTGTTAGCCAGAGATCCTAGCTTTTGTAGAGGGAGCCCTTGCGATTCTACCTTTAGGGTCGGCCTACAAAAATATGTCATCACTGCACCAGTCTATAGAAACGGATGCTCCTTCCTTATTCCAGGTTTGAGTTTAGGATGACAGTGTTTTTTTTCATTTCTAATAGTTTGAATTAATTTATATAAATAAACAGACCATTGACCACTCCCCTTGTAGTCAGTTAGAATGCCCCTTTCAGTAAACATGTATGCAACACAACACATAAAAGTCTTTGACATGCAAGTCAATTGTTGAATATTGTACACAGCTTTAACAACAAGATGCTGGTTTGGTAGCAATTCCCTATCCCAATACTTGCCTTCAAATGGCAATGCACAAGAATGTGTTTAAGCTATGAAATTACCTTCTTAAGATCATAATAGCCCTATAGATGGATGCATGCAATCCTAAAATGAAATTGGAAGCTGACTTTACCTCAGCTACTGTCAAACAAGTGTCACAACAAATGACTAAAGAAATGACCCATGGTGAGGGCTGAACGCAAACATCTTCTAAGAGTGAGGAGGTGTTTCCACAGGTAAACGATCACCTGAACAAAGTGTAGGAAACTTGAATAGAATTGACTCTTTGATCTTTAAGGGTACTTCAAGTAAGAAAGTACACTCCTTAAGTCTTTTATAATGTTCTGTCACTTTGCTCGTGTTCTTTTTATTTAACCTTCCTATGTTAATTTGACAACTCAGCGACAAGATCTGCCTTTCTCAAAAGGAGACAATAGGTTTTAGTGCCAACCTTTACAGCCACCCATCCCCAGCAGGTGTTCATGGTAAGACACAGCAGATATCAGATACCATCTTACATACGGGTTATAGGAAGTGATGGGAAGGTACTAAAGATCCATGCAGTTCATTCAAAGCAAGTGAAATGTAGTTCAGGGTTGGCACAGAGTGAGTAGATAACTGTTTCCATTGTTCCCTTAACAGGATCTCTGTGAAAGTCTTTCAAATCTTCACAAAAGTTTGCAATTTTACACCAATTCCTTTACTATTACAACATGTAAACAAAGATGAGATTATTTAGCATTTGAATGACCATTTGCAGTTTGTTTTTGCCAGTTACATATCAATCAAATGTTGAATTGGTGTTTTTTGGACCATTAAATTTTTTAATTTTTAGAATATTTTATATTTCACTTAAACTACAATTAATTTGATACGGCAACAAACGCAAAGCTTGTACTATGGCACAGTGTTGCTAATAAATGCTATAAGCAAGCTAACATGCTTACACTGAGAATTCTAACATGGTGCTGTTAACCAGGTATTATGTTTACACAGTATGTTTTACAATCTTGTATTTGGATGTAAGCGTGATAACACCACCAGAGCTGGTGAAGGAAACCTGGTCAGGTGTCAACATGTGACCTAAGTTCCATTACAAGGTATTTGGATGCCCTTTGAGCAAGTGCACAATTGAGAAGGTTTGCTAGCAAAGTTTTACTAGTTTCTAGGTTAGTAATATTGCAACGTTTTACTTGACTTACATTTTACTACTCCTAAGCTTGCAGGTTGGAATCTCAAATTAAAAAGGCTCTACTGAACTTCAGTCAACACATCATGTCTCCAATAAGAGGGATAAGGCTGCACATTTGTTAATTCTCGATTCAAGGAGGGTTACAATTGCTAATTCTATAACATACAAAAATTCAGCTACGCCACCATTTTCATCCTAGAGGAACATAAACTGCTGGTACAGTTAAATGCGATGACTGAGGCTACTTTGCAGGCCCGGCTAAGTGACGTAGAATGGGAAATATTCCAAAACAATTCAGTCAGTCTGAAGTAATGATAAGCTTCATACTTATGCTTACCAAATATATAATTCTCACATTGACTGTATGCTCACTTTATCTCAAGGGTTGACAGCACATTCGTTGGGCTGCTTTTTAAGGAATAGTAGGTGTTCTATAGGTTGACATGTGAGTTCTAATTACCATATTCAACAAAAAAGGTATATAGACACTTGAATTATAAACTTCATTATTGTAACTTAAAGAATAAAAGTTGCCATTTGAATTCGTAATTCAACACATTTTGAAATGCTACGCACGGTATTTGCTTGTTCATTGTGGTTTAAACCGGGTATTTTGCACAGGTGCAGATTAAAGCTAATATTCTATTCTTAGACAAGGTTTACGCGACAAACCACGGTGGAGCGCCATAACCCTACCACAAATGCACTTTCATTTCCGCCGGAAAGTCTTTTTTGCACAGCGTCTGGTCGCGGTGTAAACCGGTGTAACG